AACATAACATAACATAACACAACAATATGACATTGGACATGCATATGTACCATGAAGATGTTTTCTCACACTGTATAGCGTATAGCATAGTTATTCATGATGTCAGTGACAGTAGTGAGGGTTTCTATCTGTGCTGCCAGACACTGGAGCTTCCCGTCCTTGTCGGTTCACTCAGGAGCGTCTCTCGTCTGTCTGTGTGCGCCGGTCGGTCCGGTGGTAAGAGGATGTAGTGTGTGGCACTGGCCTGTCTGCCGTCCTTCAAAATGGGAACAATGCAGGGAGAAAAGTGAGCTGCAGGTGCCGACCTCTCACTGTGCTGTCTCTGTAATGCCTTACTCACATATTTTGGGTTAGCAGCAAAACTCTGTGTGGCAGGCATCACACCGTTGATATAAATTGGAAGGCTTTTGGGGCTCGGGGTACGTGGTGGGCAGGGCGGGACTAAAGGGACCCTTGGAGGAATTCTGGGAGGCTTGTCTTCCTCGTTTGTGCTCACAGTCTGTGAGAGAGCCTGAGGTTTTCGTGGGATGGGGATACGAGGAGGGATTTGAGGCTTGTCGGTGGGGCAGGTTGTGGTGCTGCTGTGTGGCTGGAAAGCAGGGCCTGAGAAGGAATAACGAAATCTAGACGCCTGGTGTAGGTCTGGCTGTTTGCTACACAAAGGATCCCCAGCTGCTGAGGCCACATGTTGGTGGTCTTCTCTGTGGAGACCAGGTGCCCAGTTGCTGGCTCCAAACCCACCTCCTCTACCTGTCGGTCTGTCCTCTCTGCCTGGCCAGGAGAAAGCCATACAGCCAATCTCAGAACTAACGGCCTGCAGCGAGCTCTCCTGGTAGGCATGATTAACTTGGCCACAGTCTCTGTTACTGCCCCTGGACATGGCCTTGGGGCAACTTTTGGGCAAAAGGCGCCGTCGGTCACTGGTAAAAAACTCCACCTCATTATCAGCAGCTTCATCCGACATGAGCTCCTCAGGGTCAGGCAGAGGCGGCAGGGGTTTGGTCTCTTTCTGGAGGCCCCCAAATACTGTCCGTCTCTGGGAAGAAGGGACCACCTGGTCTCCCTCATGGAGCCGCAGTATGTTATTAGATGTTAGGCGATAAGTATCAGAGTAGAAAGGAGACTGGAGGAGGGAAATATTGGCTGTGAAAGGGAAAAAGAATCATGCATTAAACCAATGTCCTCATGGCATCCTAAACTGTACTGTACATCAAGAAACCCCTGCTCTGGTATAAAAGGTTTTCCTATCACTGTTGTTTCCTTCAGAGTGGAAACAACTCTCAGAGGAAGAAACATGGAAAACAACTTGCAATAAGAAAAAACTCTTAACTAGAGTGTAGTGATAGTGTAGGAGGGAAAAATACCACGGGGAGTGGGCTGCCCACTCTCCTTAGAAAAAAAAAGATGAAGATATCTTACAGGAAACAAGAGTAAAAAACATGTCGAAAACAACTGCTTAACCTATCACCCTCTTCGTCAAACATCAGCCACAACACCCTGATTAACACAGGAATCATCATTATCTGTGGGGCCGGCCACAATCTTAACGGAGCTTCCCATAACCTTCTCTGTGGAAACATCCGGCGTGCCCCTGACTGCAGGAACAGCTGGTGACCAAGCAGCGATAGCTTTCCCTGCTCCTTCACTCCGCTCCTCTCAGTCCAGTGATGACAAATTCACCTAAGCCCTGTCCTCACGCTGCTTTTTTAGTCAAACAGGGTTTTAAACAAACTTAAGAATATAAATCTATTATACTGAAAAATTGATGTAAAATGATATCAACATTAAGAAAATGAATGATTTATATCACAAACATGTCTAGCACACTTTGAAGTGTTGCACAATTCAAAATAGACAATTGCTGTGAAATCTTATCAATGTGTCTTTATTGTTTTTGTTTCTTGGCTTACTTTAAGACCTGTTTCTGCAATTATCAATAATTACAGCTAAAAATGATTATAATGTATCTAAGACGTATTAACTCAAGTTCACAATGCATTTAAACTATCATACGTGCCATATGTATCCATGTTAGCTGTAAAGAGTTTTCAATTAGTAATCTGTGACAAAATTATTGTATAATAATCTTATATGTAAAAGTAACATGTAAAGGACTCACAGTTAAATTCCTTGGCCATTTGCTGCTGTTGAAGCTCCGTCAGGTTGTGTTCCATATCAGCACTCAGGCCAAAGCACACTCTGCAAAGCAGGACAGGTTGAGAAATACATACAGAGCTGTGCATGTGTGTAAATCATTCCTGCACATAATCTGTCATGAGTGAGTCATTGTACAACAGAATATATGTTCTGTTCATCTTTATGTATTGACATAATGCAGACATCTTCTCTGAGGCATGTTCATCAAGTATGTTTGCTCCTTATTTACCTAATATTGCCATTTTGTTTCATATTATTTAGCTATATTTCTCATTACTATTGTTAATACTATCTACTCTATCTATGTAACATCTAGTAAAAGTCTAATTTTTCCCTTTTTCCCCCCAAAGTTACACACTTTTTTTTGTCTCTTATCTGATGTCAGTGGTCTAAGGATGGAGGGCCTTGTGTAATGTACAGATTCTAAAGTCAAAATTGTGACTTTGGGCTTTTTTAATAAAATTGACTTTATCAAAGAATGTGATGAATTCTCATCGCAGACACATTAAAGCATTGCCTATGGGAGTAATTTAAAGTGAATGCAAGTGAAAGTCAGATGGCTTAAAATGCGAGCAGGTCTTCATCCTGTAAATCATCTCAAAGATTTATTTTTGGATGTGTGAGGTGCTGAACTTGTTAAATCTTATTATTTTTTGTCTCTATACACATCAAACATAGCAAAAATAATATGAAAATGCAACATTGGAATCATTGCTGATATTATATGATGAGGGTAAAAGGAATGATAATCGGGTCACACTATAAAATAAAGTCTTGTAATTCTTGTCAGTGTCAGAACGGTGTCTGCGTACCTGTTCAGGTCATGCTGTCCCCAGTCGTTACTGTGACTCCTGGCCATGTTGTGGCAGAAAGGCACTTGTGTTCTTAAAAATCATGAAGGTTGTGTTTGGTAGAGCTCCAGCACACGTCTGCTGCTTCAGACCCATCACAGCTTCATTCTGGCCAGTGGTAAACTGTAATAGAGAAACAGAAAATCTTTTCCTGAGCAACAGGAGAACCTGGACATTCACGCCTGGACATTACTGCAGGAGTGTCACAATTAAGCTTTAAACACTAAAACATGACTCCTCCATATTAGGCTGTTGCATTAGAGCACTCCCTCCATTTTTTCTGGTCATACCTCCATCAATGTAAAATGCTCATAAACATCTGGAAGTCAACCCAGCACGCACAGCTGCATGCTCCTGTCCTACCAGGCAGGTCAAAGGTCAGGACAAATACTTAAGAGGCGTGAAACACAAACATATATCAACTGTAGATTAAATAATTGATCATTAAAAACTTATATTCTACTCTGTCCTGTTACTCTCTCACTCTGAAAAAGGCTGGAATGCACTGAAACATAACTGAGCAAAGAAAAGGCTTTTTGTGAAAGATCATCTTCACTTTGTCTTGACTATTTGTTAGGAACAGTAAGTAATAACTTAGATTCCTGAAGCACGGCGCTGTTTTAGTTCAGCCTCAACAAGAGCTCAGTAAATGACTTCAGTCTGCTCTGGCAGCTGCCTGTGTCTGTACCTCTTTGTGGTTCCAGCTTAAAGCCATTTGTCTGATGAGCAGGCTATTACACAACCTCTGGGTCAGAAGTGGGAGGGCAGCACTCTTCATCCTCCTTCCTCCCTGTGACCATGAAACCCTGCAGTATCCACCCTCACAACAGGGACTAATTGTGCCGCATTCCTGTGATGCTGAATGACATACTCCAGCACGCTGACACACGCACACGTCACGGAAAAGCTGGTTTGATTCATATTTGGCTGTGGCTCCTAATATATTTTGATTTACTCATTTATTTCTTGAGAAAAAAAAAGGACATTTAAACACATCACACTGCAACTAACAAAGAAATATCTTATAATAATAATAATAATAATAATAATAATAATAATAATGTTGCATTCTGTTTAAATAGCTAATATGTAAAATAAGGACATGTCAAGCCAAAGAAGGAGATACAACCATTTTAATATTAACTAATATGATGGCTGCTTCCTGTCTCCTGATGTGACATGGATTCCTACTAAGATGGACACGTATTCTGGATCAGGTGAAGGTCATTCTGTTTTTATGTGAAGGGCAGCTTGGGTTAAACATACTATCTGACAACTGAAGGGGTTTAAAACAGACTGAAGCTCGTGTCAGCAGGATTCTTACTTCGTAAATTACCCACAATATTGTGCCTCCCATAGCTACAATACATACGACACAGATACAAACAGACACTTACTGCCCTTACCAACAGTA